GACGGCCAGGGGGCTCCGGATGCGAGCTGAGCTGAGCTGGCCTGGCCTGAACTGGCCTGAACTGGGCAGGCTTAGAAGATCGAGGACCGAACTTTCTCAATGGCGCCGCGCGGATGAGTTCGGGAGGTGCGCGCGGGGGGGGGGGAAAGGAGCTCGCCGTCTCCCAGCAAGCTACGCGCCCGCCCTGCTGAACTTTTCACCTCTGCGAGGAAGGAGCCGGTGCCACCAGCTCGGTCAACAAAGCCCGGGGCGGACGGGCTGGGTCGCTGGAGGCCGGGCCGGGAGGCTCAAGTAACACGGCAGGGACTGCTGGTTACCTCTGGCCCGCCGGACCCGGCCGCGCCGCGCCGCAGGTTATCGGAAGGCCAGGGAAAGCGACCCTCGCTCGCACCTGCTCGCTTCCTTGTCCCAACGCCGGCCGCCGCTTAAGAAGCGCCTCCCTTGATTCCCGGGGGACTCGCACAAGCGGCCGCAGAGCGTTGGCTTTACGACCTGCTGTAGTCGGAGGGTTGAGGGAGAAGCCCGAAGAGGGCAGCGGGGTCAGGTGCCAGCAGGAAGAAAAAGAGGCCTGCCGTCTGCGTTCACACGAGGCCTTACGGAAACCGGACACGCCTAGGCGGGGGGGGGGATGCAGGGTGAACTATCGTGGTTTTTAGTATCGCCTGTTCACCGCCCTGAGTCCCGCAAGGGAGATAGGGCGGTATATAAATTTAATTAATTAACAAACAAACAAACAAACAAACAAACAAACAAACTCAGTGAACCGGACATCTCGGCAACGACTGTGATCGTCCTACTTTCTCACTACTTGAGAATCAAGTTTCCAGCTCTATAAAACCCGGGCACCAGGGTTAGAGTTTACACCGATTGGAAGCCTAAGAAAAGGGATGGAGAGAGAGCCGGTTCCAATCCCACTCAACCAAGCAATCGAACCCCCATCCTCGTAGGGCAGGGGTAGGCAACCTTGGCTCTTTTATGACTCGTGGACTTCAACTCCCAGAATTGTTGTTAAGTGAATGCAGTTGTTAAGTTTTAACATGGTTGTTAAGTGAATCTGGCTTCCCCGTTGCTCATTTGCTTGTCAGAAGGTAGCAAAAGGTGATCACATGATCCTGGGACAGTGCAACTATCACAAATATGAGTCAACTGCCAAGTGTCTGAATTTTGATCACGTGATCATGGGGGTCCTGCAACAGCTGTAAATGTGAAAAAAGTCCCTTTTTTCAATGCTGTTGTAACTTCGAACAGTCACTAAATGAACTGTTGTAAGTCAAGGACTACCTGTAATTTGATTTTATTTTTTTTTAGATTTGTTTGGAATACTCTTCTGAAGCCAGAGTTGTTCTTACAAAGTTATTGCTCAGTCAGCTGATTTTCAGTTATCTCGGATAAAATTCTTTAAAAAGAACAGCCAGAGATCTTGCTCCAGCCCGTAAGGGGGTTCCAAGACAGGATCTCCTATAAATGTAAAATCATACAATCAAAGCATGGTGCTTGGAGATGGTGGAACATGTTGCTGCCAAGACATGTTTCCTGTTGTCTGGCATGAGAACCAGTTAAATTTGAGAATCAGCATCATTAAAATTATGGATTGCAAAACCCTGCTTGACAGCATAATCACAATGACTAGATTCACTCAACATGCCACATCCATGCCTTATCACAAGAGTTTTTCAACCCTGGAAACTTTTAAGGTGTGTGGACTTCAAATATCAGGATTCCATGCTTGGCTAAGAGATTCTGTGAGTTGAAGTTCACACTTCATAAAGTTGCTAAGGTTAAGGCATACTGGCTTAGCAGGAGATTTAGACCCAACTTCTCTGCTTGGGTGAAGTGCTTCGTGGTGGAAGTTCTTTCCTATTCCTATTTCTAACTTAGTTGTCCCATGCTGCAACATGGAGGATGGGCTGGGGTGACAAAGGAGAATCAGAAGCTCATCCAGTGTCAGGCAGCTGTGTCATAGAACTTGTCAAATTCAGTAGCATTGATTGGATGAAAGGGATTGAGATGTCAGAAGATATATTTAATTTTAAAATGTTCCTGACACAAGACTCTTGGCTTGTTCTCTACTGGATGATAGTATTTCTCTTCATGCAAGGAATGGATGTGGAAATGTCTTTGTGTGTACCTATATCAAATAATTTTTTAAATGTGGCAAATTGCAGAGACTATCCCTATTCTTGTAATAGCATTGTTTCCGATGTAGTAGTAGTAATTATTATTAAACAGTAAGAAGTTACAAGGGGTGTGAATTCTGTATCTCTTATTCACATAGCTATTAGTATCCCATTGAACATACTGTTGGATTTACAAGAAAGCAAGGCTGCAATCTGAAACAAGTGTAATGAGCACAACACCACATACTCCAGAGTTAAAATATGCACAGGATACTCAGATCTCAATTTCCTCATATTAGCCTTTGCCAATCTGGTGCCCTGCAGATTCATTGGAAATTTATGATGTGTGGGTCTGTGTGTGTGTGTGTGTTATCCTATCCAGATAAAGAAACACAAGACAAATCATATTGGAATTTTGTTTTTCTTTTTAATTTGATCACTCTTCCTCTCTCTCTCTTTCAAAAAAAAAAGTTACAAAATCCATGGCAACCGGCTTTTGCTAATGTAGTTTTTTGTAAATAATAACAATAACAATAATAGTACAGAAAGAGGGGGAGGGGGAGGAAGAAAAGGACTTCCATGACCTTCAGAAATCAAGAAATGTCAAGGATTTAAAGCTTAACAAAAAAACAACATGAACAAATAGGCGTAGAAAATGGACACAACAAATGAAGCCTGATTATTCCCACTCTAGCGCCTACCTGCTGTTTGGTGGGTTTGCAAATGAGATTAATAAGGATCATTATAAACATGGATGTGTTCAACATTGGTATAATCCAATTGGCAGTGAATTAATCGTTTTCTCTTGGGAGCCGAGCTCCCTTTCAATCTCCACTCCAGGCAGCTTCTGAAGTGTCTACCCCACCTACCAGCCAATATGCAGCTCGGAAGAAAGTTATATAAATAACTCCCCCTTTCTCTCCATTTACTTCATTAACGGAGGAAAGGACTAAAGATGCATTACAAAAAAAAAATAAAATAGAGCAATTAGGCTCCACCCGCTTGTAATATTTCCAGTCTGAATTTGGACTGTGACTCCTCCCTCCGCTTTCTTCCCCCCCCCCCAAGGAAAGTATTTCTTCCTTTCACTGGCAGATGTCTTTCTACTATGTGGAAGGGGGGGGGGGTGAAGAGCCGATCAAGGAAGGAAGGCAGCGCCAACTATCTCAGAAGGAGTTGTCCTTGCCAAAGGGATTCCGGCCTGATCCACATTGAGTCGAAAGTCTAAAAAAGAAAAGTGGAAGGACCAAGTCCCAGTGAGGCATCTTTTTGGATGAATAGGTGAATAATAAGCAGAGCTTGGCGGTCAGGGAGTTCTCCTCGAGAGTAAGAGAAGTAAGAAAGACAGAGCAAGCCCCACGGTGATAGACTGAGGAGGCAGGATCCAACCCATAGAAGTTAATACGGCCCTATGAAAACTGTCAGCCAACCAGATCACCCAGTCAACTTGCAACCCTTCTTAATCTAATATGATCTGCTTAGACTAGTCCACAGGGCTGATCTGGATGGCCACCATGACAGCTCCCAAGTGGTGAAATGCTGGGAAGAAAATGCAGTGGAATCCGTCACATGAGAGTTTTCCTCAAGGTCACAAGCCCTTACAGTACTGCAACTATAACTTGGATGGAGATCTTCTTAGCTTTTATTTTTGAACAACTGTGCTTACTTGGAGTGGATTTTAAAACGGCTTAAGCCCAAAGATCATGAATAGATCCTAAATGTGTCGATATGGAATTCTCCAACAGAAAATTGGGAGATATCATGATTCTAAGACACCATGACTGAGAAAAAAAATATTTACAGCACCAGTTGGCTAAAAATGTTGTATGTATATACTGGGAGCAGGAAAATCTGAGTTCTGGACCTGCTTTAGGCTTAGAAGTCAATTAGGGATTTTGGGCTAGTTTCTTTCTCTTCCCTCTGGGAAGCAGTCAGTGGCAAAATGCTCTCTATTTCTGTCTCCCCCTACCCCCTCCTTCCCTCTCCAAGATCGTCATTCATACAATCTGCGAAACTATGTTTGTTAAAACACCAAATAATTCATAACTGGCTTGAGACACATGGCATACTAAATCGTGTTGTGCAGACCTAGTGTGTGTTGGCTTCAATCGGTTGAAGAATTACTCTTAATAGGAAGTCCATTGTTTGGGGACTTACTTTCCAGAAAGTCTGGCCATAGCTACGAACTCTTTTTTTAAAAAAAAGTTCTTAATTTTGACTGGATCTCCGGAGCCTCCATTCCCAAATCCGTTGCACTGTCTTTTTGATATGTAAACGAATTGATTCTAGCAGGGAAGTTCGTACAGATTTAACAGTACAACAAAACAGAATAATAGGAGATGGTTTTCGATTCAAAGTCTAAAAATCTAGCAAATCCCTTAAAACAGGGGTCCTCAACCTTGGCAACTTTAAGACTTGTGGACTTCAACTCCCAGAATTCCTCAGCCAGCAAAGCTGGCTGAGGAATTCTGGGAGTTGAAGTCCACAAGTCTTAAAGTTGCCAAGGTTGAGGACCCCTGCCTTAAAAGCAAAAATGCTCCCAATGATCTCGGACAAATCTTTACACGAGGTTCAAATCAGCTTTCACTACCTTTCTAAAACCGCACAGAATAAATGCTTACTTCTAGACAAGAGAAACCGCGTCGGAGCGACCGGAGTCTCGCCCGGCAATTTCCCCAAGCTCTTTCGTTCGCAGTCTCTCCCTTTTTAAAAGCTGATGGCGCTGATCTACCTTTGGCCATGGTCTTGCTGCCCTCTAAACGCCAGACACCCTTCTGACAACCCCTTCTACCCAGCATCCCCGTTCCCCATCGGGTCCGGCTAAGCCGTAGATCTGGAGAGCAGCCGAAACCGCCTCTTGGTCCCGTGCAACGGCGCCCGCGCCTAGCTGGCCTCGTCCGAGTCACTGTAATGCGACCGAGGCGAGAACTCGCCGTCGCTGCGGTGGGCCGGCGGCGAGGTTTTTCTTCGCTCTTGCGGCTGCTGGCCAGCCGGCTGGAGAAGCTGGCCCGGCGAGGGGGCTTTTTGCCCCAGAAGGGCGCCGTCCGTGAAGGAGGGGAAATGCAGCGGCTCTGGCTGCACCGCGTAGACCCCTCCTGGCCCCGCAGCCCCCGGCGACTCTAAGGGAAAACGCGTCCTGCCGTGGGCCGCCACCTGGGCCCGGGCTTGGGCCTGCAGCGCGCCCCCTCCTGGAGGGGTGCAAGGCGCGCGCTCGTAGGTCTGGGCGGCGGGCGGCAGAGAAGGGCCCTTGCCGCAGGGGGCGCTCTCGGGCGGCAGCGGGCTATGCAGGAGCTCGGCTAAGGCGCTGATGTAGATCTGCGCCATCTGCAGCGTCTCGTACTTGGAGAGTTTCTTGTCGTTGTTAAAGGAAGGGATGACGTTGCGCAGCTGGTCGAAAGCGTGGTTCAGCCCGTGCATCCGGCGCCGCTCGCGAGCGTTGGCCGCCAGCCGCCTCTGCCGCTGCACGCCGTTCCCCTGGGAGCCCTGGCGGAGAAGAGGGCTGCCTCCGACGGCGGAGCAGGGCGAGCGGAGCCGCGGCGGGGGCGCTAACGGCGCCTTGCAAGGGCCGCTCCGGTGGGGACGGGGATGCTGCGACTGCTGAAGCGCGCACAGCTGCTTCCCGGAGGAGCGGTTCGAACTCCGTCGGCTCCCGCGCTCGGCGGCGCCGGCCCTCAGGAACTCCTCCTCGTCCTCTTCTTCCTCCTCCTCGTCCTCTTCTTCCTCCTCCTCGTCCTCTTCATCTCCCTCAGGTGTACCCGAAAGCAGATACCTGGGGGATGAGGAGAGGCGGCCCGGGCAGCAAATGCCCAACCAGGGGGAGGGGAAGGCGCCACCTCGACTTGCCGCCGCCGCTTCTTCTCCCAAGAGGAGGCTGCCTTCCAGGTGCTGCTGTGGCGGGCCCAAATCCCTGCCGCTGCCGGCCCAGTCATTGGGCGCACTAGGCGCGCGCAGGTGGTTCATCGCGACCGGAGGCGGGCGTGGCGGCGACCAGGGGCGCAAGAAGTGCCGCTGTAGCCCCGCTCCTGACACTTTCTTTCCCGCGCGCCCTTTCGCGACCCCGTCTCCTCCTCCTCCTCCTCCTCCTCCTTCTTCCTGGGCCGCTAAGAGCCGTTTCTTCCCCGGCGGGCGCTTTTACAAAGCCGGAAATCTCCCAGGACGTATAAGTGTCTACCCACACAGGCACACGGCCCGCACACTACCAGGCGTCTCCGGTTGCGAAGGGCGCTGCGCCCCTTTAAAAAGCGGCACGCGCCAGGGTCCCCCACCCTTGCTACCTCCTCCTTCGCCCCACGCACACCTCCTCGGCGCCCCACCCTCCGCCTCCCCACCCACCTCGCGCCAGTCGCGTGTCGACTCAGCCATTGGAGCCCGCGGGCCTTGGCGCGTGCTGGCAGCCAATGGGCAAAGCAGCCAAGCTTGGGTGTTTGGGCTTTCGTTCCTTTTCCTTTTCCTTCCTCCCCCACTCCCGTCCCCGCCTTTGGCCCACATCGGGATTGGGGGCGGGAAAGCAAAGGGGAGGGAGGGAGGCAGGGAAGAAAGAGAGAAGAGCCAAGTTGACACAAAAGATGTAAAGTTCTCCCTCAGAAAGAATTGCTCCGCTATTAAGTTAGGAAGGCCGTTTTCGAGCAGGCTTGGCGACTCGAGTCACTTACGCGTGTGTGAATGTGCACGGGAGGGTTGTCGGATGGGAGAGGGGGGGGCAGCCGGTTTCCTACACTTGCAGGAGTTCGTGAGGTAAAAAAAAAAAATAAGCCGGGCGGCGATCAAGGAGAAGGACGTGTGAAGGCGCGTGTCTAGAAATGCCACAACGCGCGCGCGTAAATCTCCAGCATCGGGATTTGGCCTCAGGGCGCCGAGTGGTGATAATCGCTTTCTAATAGCTCTGAACGAGGCCGGCCTTTCAAAAGCCGCCTTTCTCCGCTGCTTCCAGAACAGAAGAATACAGACGGCGAGCCTGAGGCGTTTGCGCGTCGCTCCCGCGCGCTCCGTGAGGCAGCTTGGCCACCACCAGCCCAAGCCCCTCGTCAAACTTCCTTTGGTTTTTGCTTTTGTAGAAAAGGCGGGACGGGTGTGTGTGTGGAGGAGTGGGTCAGTGCATGCTGAGCACCAAGTGCTTTGGGGTCACTGCTGTCGAGGCGCATGGGAAAACTAGCCCCCGCTCAAGCCACGCGGAAGAGAAGCGCGAAAGGCAGCGGCTGGAACCAGGTTGGACGTGACCAGCGCGCTCCCCTCTCGCTCTCTGAACTGAGCAGCATTTGCTACGGAGCTCGCCCCCAAGGACCCCCGATTTGCTCGGCTGCCGCAGCTACCGTGGGCCATCGGAGAAAGTGCAGAAACGCATCCCGGGGCTACTGTCACGGACGAAACTTACTGAAACTAATCAAAAACTGAATCTCGAAGCCCGAAGTCCAGGGCACGGCTCTGCAGTTCAGGGGAACACACAGCCGATCTCCCCGATTTCTCGGACCTTTTCCTTCAATCCCAATGAACGGCCCACAAAACGACCAGTTTAAAACCGAGAGCTCTTGAGGTCCAGAAAGTTCATTGGGGCAAACTTTGGATGGAAACCCCCAAAAGGGGTTGTGGGATTCCAGAAGCCATTGATCCTTTTGTCCCTCTTAAAAGGTCCCTTGCAGGTGACTGGAGGTACAGTGAGCAAACTAAACCTGACTTCTGGGCAGACATAGAGTGCTTAGCACACCACGCCTTTATTCTTTTTAAAATAAAAGCCTGACTAGAGCTGCTTAGACAAATACAGTCGTCGCTGGTTGTTTTATTAGTTTTTATTATAATATATTGCACTTTTCTACAAGCCTGGGATAGTTCTGCCAAGGGAAGCAACCCACTCTCCAATATAATTTCTTACTTGGCTGGATCACTGAATATTATAGAAAGAAAGGGGCACGGGATCACAAAGGCTACCCTTTTTGTATGCAATTATCCGTATGCAAGCAGCACGGTCCTCAACATGCAGAAGTAAGTTGTCTAGTCTCTACTTGATATCCATTAAATGTTCCTCAAAAATTAGCAGACTGAACACTTTTCATTCGGAGGCACAATTTTACGTACACTTACCTGGAAAAGAGTCCTGCTGAATGCTGTGAGAGATCATTCTGAAAGCATCAGCATAAGGTTAGGCTGTTACTACGCAACACCACTAGCTTGCTGGAGTGTTGGCTTCTGCTGCCAGAATTAATAATCTGATTAGACTGATCAAGCTTGTTCTTCTATTTGCTTCCTAATTGCATGTTGCTACCTATATACATACTTGTGTTCAAATGTTTAGCTTGGTTGAATGTCTGCAACATACAACTTCCCTCTTATTCATCCCTATTGGACTCAAATGTCTTGTTGCAGTCTAATTTCTTGATAATAAATTAAAATGTTAGAATTATTATTATTATTACTGTTGTTATTATTATAATTATTACTATTATATTTATGTGTGGCCCATCTCATGTTTGAGGCAAGCATTAATGAGTAGGTATCACCTGACTCTCCTTGTCTAGGCTGGCAAGATAAATAGGATCTGGCACGATTAGCATTTGATTGCAATTCCCAGGTAACACTTGTAGGCTAGACAAAATTACCCCAAAAGATGGCACAGGTTGACACTTGACAGTTTTATTGTTGACAAGAAAACTATATGGATATGCTCCTGAAGTCGTTTTCTGAGCATGACTACAAATAATATTTTTAAGACTTGGACATTGTTTTTGAAGGGTGTGAGATATGAAATTTTAGGAGTATATATAAGCACATGGCCAATCACAAAATTAAGTTTTCTCTTGAGAGTATTCTATAGGTCCCCCCCCCCCCAGATATTCTCTATATTCTCAGGCTTACTTTTGTCTTAGTATTAGGCCGTAGCCATACTTTTCTTAGAAAAAAGGCGAAGAATTGTTAAGACAGAAGAAAAAGGGAACAGAAGGATAGGTGATAATGATTCCACTTGTAGCATAAAGGAGAAAAAGGGTGGGGATCAGAGAGTGTGGAGGAGGGAAGAGGGAAGGTGATGTGGTGCCCATGCGTAGGAACTTCAGAAAGACCTCCTGTAGATTGGGGTAGAAGAGACACAGGAAGAAATAGAGAGAAAGAGAAGGATATCTCAATGAGAGCATTCTGTTTCAGAAACAGAAAAAAAGCAGTAGATAATAAATGCAAGCCTGTAACAATGCAGTGTGATGACCACAATCCACAAGTTCTCCATTATAGCAGGGGCAGGCAACTTGTGGTCCTAGGAACTACCTTGTCTCTTGATGACAATGAAAGTTGATGTTGTTTCCTGCCATTCTGAGGCCAAGATCCTATGAAAACAGTAAGGTAGGTCCTAAAATAATTCTAATAAAGAAAAGTGTCACCAGTTTTGTAATGGGATTAATCAGATATGCATGGCAAACTTCATCTCACTTGACCAAGCAGCGGGTGAAATCCTTGACTGATTCTAATCTGATCTCTTTCTGTAACAACCCCTATCATATCTTTTTGACAAGGATACAGAATTTGGTAACTCATGCTTTAGTGATTCAAAGTCAGGGTAAATAATGGATTAAAATAATAATAATACTATATTACCCAAATACTCAAAAAAACTTCACATTGGGTAAGCAATAGTGGTTTTTTTTCCTCCAAAATAAGCTATGAACATATTTTTACTAATGCCTAAAGAAAATATAAAACATTTGTTTCATTTTCATTTCATTTTTAAGTAAAATAAAAGTGGAAATACTGAATCTTACTTCACAACTTAAAAATACCGTGGGAGAGGAAAAAAGTATTAAAGTCATGGCATCTTTTAATTTGATGAAAATTAACTTGTTTCTTCTTGAGAAATCCAATTTGTTTCAACAAGAATAAATAGTAATAGTAACATAAAATGAGTGTTTTGAGGCCTATATAGGCCAATGTAGAACTATTGTACCATTTTCACTAAACTGGGGAGGGGGAGATAGGATGAAAAAGAATCTCTAATTCGTATAGATTAATTTTTCCATTCTTCATACTTCATTCAAACTCTTTATTAGGAATATATGTATCATTTACCACTATGCATATGTGCCAGACGTCAAAGTCAAAGTCAGTAGGTGACTCTTGAAGAGTTGGATTTAATTCTGTTCTCCCAGAATAAGACAAATGTTAGTGCTGAAGAACTCCTGGGGTTGGCTAAGTTTATTTGGTATTCAAAAATGTCTCTCCCTTTTTCCTTTTACCAGTTCTCATTGTATGTTCAAGCCTACTTGAGTTTCTTTTCTCTTTTGTTAGACTTGACTCTTTTGATGTTATTCGGACTATGCCCTGCTGCAGAGACAACTTCACAGGAATCGGAAATATAAGCATACAGCTCAGGAAAAGTCACTGAAAGCCTCAAGATATACTTTAAAAAAAAATCTGAGTGAATGAACTATCATCAAGGGAGTCAGAAGCATAAAAAATGTTCCATTTCTCATTGTATGTATCTTGATCATTCTAAGTATAGTTATTCGGAGATCTCTTCTGCTGAAATTTAATGGATTTTTCTAAGCTAAAATATGTGAAAAATAAAAGTGGGAATTAGTCAAAACTTTCAGA